TGGGTGAATATTGTCTGCACCTGGCGATGCATTCTTCCTCAGGGCCAATAGCTTTGTTTTAACCTTTTCGGCAGTGAATGATACGGTGGTTAATGAAGGATGTTGAATTTGTTGCATCCTACGAGGGAGGGACATTTATTCACTAGTTGACGCAGCAAAAACGTGGGCATACTGGTTCTTCAGCATTTCAGCGGCTTCCATCGTATTGGTTGTGACTCTCCCAGAAGAACTGAGCACCGGTATTCCATGTTTGACTTTTCGGGCTGAGTTAACATGTTTGTACAAAAGCTTGGGATTTGAAATAAATCTCTGTCCTATAGATTCTTGATGGTTTAGTTTATCTTCGCTCACCAACTTGGTGCAATGGTTTCGCAGCAGTCGGTAATTGTTCCAGGTGCATGCATTCTGGAGTCGTTTGTAATTTCTCCAAGCGGGGTCCCTCAGAAATATCCATTTCTTTGTACGGCTTCTGAATAGGAGATTTCCGGTTGCTGGGTTTGGTAACATCCTTTACCTGCGTTACTGACACCAGTAGTTGTTGCAAACTGTCAGTAAATTCGTGCCACACGGATAAAGGATTGTGCTCTTCCAACTATTATTCAGGCTTCTCGATTCCCTTGGACGCGTTAGTTACGAGGTTTACACATGGTCTTTGAAAAACAACGCTGCTGATCACAACCACATCTCGTTACTTAGAAAAGTGAAATTTACCGTTCGCATGCTCGCCTTTGAAAAATATGTTATATTGATTCTAACAGCGGTTCCTCTGAGAACTAGTCAGCACGTGAACATCAACAAGCATAGCATTACCGGTGAACAAAATTCAAGAAATAAACCCCTTCAGATATGTGCGTCAACGTGAATCTGATAGAAGACCCTATAAATAGACAACCATCGTATGCCCCAGAGTTATGGCATGTCTATCTCCTGGTCAGGTTATGACTAATCAAACATAAAACCCATCGAAGGCTCCAACCAGAGGCAGATCTGTCCAATTTGGTCATTAGGGAGGATGCCAATACTCATCGTATGAAGAGATTCTCTGTTCAGGAAAATTATTGGTGTGACTTACTACTCAAATTTGTGACTGCAATGTTAGACGGTTGAAAAGAAGTGATTGGCCATATCTCATAAAAATGGTAGCTACAGATAATTTCTTTTACGTAGTGATTCTATTTCCATCAAAGTTACATGTATTGAATTTATCGTGATCAATATGTTGTGGGCTTGTACTCGGCTTCCGAACTTCTCAAAATGGATTGTAAAGATAAATGGGTTAAGAAATTGTTAGGGCAACTAAGACGGATGTACTTGGGTGATTTAACGAGGATAATACTGCGTTTTCCCTTCCAAATTGAACTTCATTCAGCGATCTGTGTGGCCAAAATACATGGGAAGAGTTCGGCTATCGAATTCTGCGAATAATTTCGGAATGCATAAATGTGAACAATTATGCGTTTTCGAGCACGAAAGTTTGCAGAATACGTTACACTCGTTTTGTCTCCATTGTGAAGATTTAATCTGAGTTTTTTCGTATGAAGAGATCGAAGTCATTTAATAAAATAGTTTATTTGGGAGCTAAAATTCAAAATGTTTTGATTCAAAATAAACGTGCGCGCTAGTTGCTACCAGTGTGCTAAGATACGGCCATCTTATGTCAATCAATAGATATTAATAGAAAATTAGTAATGTGCGAAAAAGTGCAGATTTAAAAGAAAACCGAATGAGCATTAAATAGAAATTTGAAAACAACAACTTCCAGCAAGATTTCTTGGAACATTTTTTTGCATGTCCAAAAGAATAACGATATCTAAAACGTATAAATGAGAACAATCAAAGGATATTTCAATCAATGTTTGCCTTGGAAAAGAAGATATTATCCAATTGTAAAACGTTAAAGCAATTTATATTCAATCCACTAACAATAATCTATCGAAAATATAATACCTTAAAACAAGCCTCTCCCGAATTTGCTCACTGGTTTGAATAGCAGCAATTTACTGCTGGTTCTTCGACAACACATTATGATCACATTTTAAATGAAATGTAATTGAATAAATGATTTTAACGTTCGACTCGATGGAAAAAATATGAAGTTGTCAAATGTTGAATAAATATCCGAAAATCCAACAGCCAAATACCTTCATGTGCCTTGTTTTCTGAGTCAAGGAAAACACGGTTTTGTCCTACTTCCTGGCTGAACCATTTAGGTTGAATCAGGGAATACACATGACCGGCGATACCGCAATCATGAATCACCTGACGGGACCCAATCCCACAGGTGAGATGGGTGAAGTTTTCTGTTCTCCCTGTACGCTTAAAACTTGGGTATCCGAATAGGACAAATAATGGTGTTAATAACACCATGTCAGTCCACTTATAATCACTTAACATTTGGTTCGTCCGTATAATGCAGTTCCATCACCCTCTGATTTACGGTCACGTCCACTCACTTTCCACAAACACACGAACACACACCGTAGCTACCAATAGTTATAGTTACACAGTCATGTTCCAAATGTTTCATTGGTTGGTTTCATTCATCTCATCGTTTCACTTGAACAGCGGTGGGGGCTATGAGTAGTCGATCTCAACTGACCATCAAGCTGTAAAGTGTACATGTGAGAAGTCTTTGAAGACCAAATTTAAACTATAGGGTTTCGATTGCGGTAGTAGTGCAGTAGTGCATTCTCGTGTTTCTACCGCACAAACCGAATCGACTGACAATCCAATAAAAGGAAATCTGAATTATTGATTCGGTTCAGCCCCGGTGTGATCCGGTTGGTATAATGTATATAAGGACGCGTTGAACACATCCGATCGAGAGATCTTATTTCGAAGGGAAGGCATTCCTGAAGTTTGATCTGATATAAATTATATTGGATTCAACCAATGGACGAAGTACCGAAAATATGCTGATTTACTCACTTGTATTTACATAATCATTAAAGCTGATTATGAAAGTGTAGCTTACCTTATTCGTTCCATTTGACAACGTAATCTATCGGATTCGGCAGTGCGAACCCATCCCGATTCAATCGCAAACGTAATGTGACCGATGAGTCCAAAACAGTATTGTGGAGCATTTTACACTCGTGCTCCAACCCGCTTGAATTGTATCTGTACTGTACGATAAGCTGTCAAATTATAGTAGTTCCGGGGGGGTAAAAATACAAGATAAACTTAACGACAGAACTGGAAATAGTATGGATACCTTGGTCCCCCTACCCCAAACCATGTAAATGATTTCATATAACTTATCTTCGTTTTCAGATCAACGAATGAGATCGTTCTCTTGGATTCATCGTTATATGGGACAGAATGATGTGTGTTTAGCGGAGTACACTCACTTGGTTGCACAGATTTTCGTAACCCTGGACTTTTTCAAGCAGTGCGGACCCGACCGTCATTTTGTGGAACAGAGCTGACATACGGCGAGAGAATGGGTGGTATGTGTGATCATATGCTTGGCATGGGTGGTGCAATGCGCTTTAACAAAGAGTTTGCGTGCTTATGATGTTAACTGCTTGTTGAGGCTTTTAGCAGTCCGTTCTTTTCTCGTATTAGAACGCGAACAGGGAAATTTCGATTAGGAAGTGGACAGTGCAAATCGTGAATCAAACGTTGGACGGCAGCATCAAGATAGTTTTATGAGAATAGGTCAAATGTTCTATTAAAAAATAGCAAGTCGACAAAACACTTCAAAAAAGTCGAAGCATAATTATTCGAAGTTTGTCTTACTGAATTTAGAAGCAAGTTCGTCAGCTGAAATGAAGTTTAAAATTTGATGAAACTTTGATGAACAAATCTGATTTTGACTTTTGATGCAAGACATTCTATTTCAAATTCTTGTTGCATGTTATTTTTCTAATATCCTCTCTTGTCAAATCCTACATCACGTGAATGCCAGATCGGTTTGTGTGAAATAAATTACACTTGTTATTGCTTTTTGATGAGGCGATACAAACCCGAATAGGTCGAGCCCTCACGAACGACTCTTGCTTCGACATTTGATATCTCCAGGAAGCATGTGATACCATGGTAGTCCCCTTGTTACCTGAACTTGGGGCACGCTTTCTAAGAGTTGCTAAATCAATGATTGTCAATCCATAGCAAGCACAAAACAAAGACGAATTTATTCGACTTTTCGTCCACTTATTGTATTTATAACAGTAAAGGTAAGCACAAAGAACGCTAACGTTTATTGCACATTTCATAGTACGATTGTCTAGTAATCATGGTTTACTCTCAACGCAAAACTAATTATTACATAATAGACAGTGCATTTGTGTGGACTGATGGTCAACTTCAGAACTGGCCATCATGCCTTGATTTTCTGAGTACTCTCTTGTGTATCTTTGTTGATCATTTTCCACTTGTTCTCGTGAACCTTGGGTCCTAAAACAACGATGACATTCAAGTGATCTGTATGGTTATGCTGTTGATTTTGAACTGCGTAACAAGACTCCCAGTCAGCTGAAGTAAATACAGTAATCATTTAACCGCGTTTACTTGTATTCGCATGAGTAATGAACATAGTCACCAACAATATTGATCCAACCAACACCCGGGAAAGTTTCCCGTGCATTCATGACAAACAGCTGCGTGTGACAGATATGAACAGACACGTACTTGCCGTTGGCTCTACAAATTCGGTGTTGGAGCCTGGAGAAAATGATGAGATTTGTCATAAGCTGGTTTACAAACTGGTTTACAAGGTGAACACGGGGTAATGGTTGTTATGCAAGATTGGAAGGTATAAATTTAAAATGAGGAAATCCAGTAGTGTATTAACGAATCATTTACTTTTTCTCAGCATCCAGAAACTTTGACCCGATGGTACAATTGGTCGTTCAGTGTTCCGAATAATACACGATTGCGAATGCTACCTACCTCTCTCGAAATTCTGAACATGGAATCGGAATTCAGTAGAAATTCGGGGCTTCACGTGACTGATTCGGAGGGGGTAATTGCGCGTGAGAATCATGCCACTTCTCTCCATTTCCTTCGCAGAATTGAACAAAGTGACAGTCAACTGCGATTTTGCTGGTACGGATTGTTTCACGTTAACAGTAATTTTCTCCGCCTCGAACCAACTGATCTAGTATAAATAACATGGATAAATGCCGAGCGGTTGGTCGTAAATTGATTTTCAGTTTTACTGGATCAACGAGCCATAGTAGAAACATTTGTGTTGTTATAAGTGTTCTATAGAGCAAAAAAGCGTGAAATGAAAAGCTAGGAAGCATGCTCCAGACTGGGTCACTGCGCACGCTGACATTCTACCTCTAAAGGTCCCGGGTTCGATCCCCAGTTGGGGGTCGATGTATTCGCACTGCTTGTAAGACCCAACCAGATCCACTACACCCGAGCTTTTCAGTTCCGGCATCATTTGCTCTATACACGACGGATTCCCCTATGACTTTGGATCAAATCCTCCTGCAATAAGTGCCGGTGTTGGATAAGTGAAGAGGACGTTTTGTTGCTGCCGTGATTTATGTTGGGAAGTTTCAAATCTTGGATACAAACTGTAATAATTAGCTGCAGGATGGATCATTCAATACAGAGAAGCTCACACACCTCAATGAAGTTAAACCTGCACAAAACCCATACGGAGTACATGCTGGTTTGGGGGGAATGAGAGAACCATTGCAATTTTTGAATGCTTAACGTTCAGAAAAATCTTCATGCAATCTCGGCCTAGAGTTTGGTCGCAGTTTATTCTGGAAACACTTCTACATATGGAAGACAGTTACTCACTTTGGTTTGTAATTTCCGCTCCAAATCTGTTCTTTCCGTAGATTCTCCAACAGTAATCTGTTCGCCGTATCTTACGATTTCATCGTTTTCATAAACAGTTCCAGTTGCGTACACAACTTTCAATCGAGCGTAAAAATGGATTGAGATGAATAAATTTAAAATGCTTGGATGTGATCTCAACTGGAACCATTTAAAAGACGTATTCCCCAAAACGTTCCTGTAACAGCATCGAATGGTTTGGTTCACGGAGCACCGGTATTTGTGCATTCTTGACACAGTGCCATTGACTTACGTGAACCAAGTGTGCTTTAATATTCAATAACTAATGTTCTAAATTTTATCCAACACTATTCGTTTCTCGTTTTGCCTGTAAAATCCAGATGAATGTTGGCAAGGAATGGCTTTCTCACCTTTGTGTTCAAACACTCGATAACGGTACCGAGTGTGTTTGAAATTTAAAACATGTGGATCTGTTAGACTCGCGTCGGTCTTTAGAAGTACATTATTTATCTTGCACGGTAAAGCGTATAAATCAATCAATTAATCAATCATTTTAAACAGAACAAAACCTAATGGAAATTCCACTCCACGACTTATACAATGAGTTTGTCTCATTATCTGCGAAAAAAATGAGCTACCTGAATTCTCGGATGGATTTTTCCAGTCGTTTCACCCATCCAGATTTTATTTGAAAACGGTTTGACTTACCTGGATTAATAAATTTCGGCACATATTTGATCCCATCTACTTCGGTTTTCATTCCACCCAGCCAATGTTTAAACGTATTCCGCACGGTGCTCTCGTCCGCGGCAATGCTCACCTTGCGTAAGTCGTCATGCTTCACGGATAGTTGAATGACAAACATGGATTGTGCGTCGACACCGTAGCCGTGACATGCGATACGGCATTCATGCAGAACAGGATGTTTCGTCCGTGAATCTTCAATCTAAACACAAAGGGGGAAACAGTTAGGCCAGTATGTGAATGCGTCCGCGATAACTAGAGGCCTCTGAGCTCAACTGAGTAGTGACATCAATCAGAAGCACTCATTGCAGTTATTACACAATTGAACATTATCTCTCTTCAGTGTATGATGTGTGAGTAATAAGAAGCTGGAAAGCATAGAAACAATTGTTGTTGTTCAAAAAAGACAAGCCTCAAAGTGCTTCTTTTTAATGATGGTTTCCAAGAAATCAGCCGTTTCGAAGTCAAATACCATTGAACGTATATCGGTCTAATTGCATAAGTTTTTAATAAATTACTACAATAATATATAGTTTTCATTTGTTTTTCTTGGGCACTGTGTCCATTGGTAAAATGATGTATAATGTTTCATTTATGTAAAGTTATTGAAGAACCCATACAGTGAAACAACCACGAAAGCGTATCATGTGAAAGAAACACGACTGAAACCAGGTGACTGATCAATTCACCGGCAATTCATCAAAAGAATGGAGCGGAATTTCGAATGAAGGCAACTATCGAACAGCGTTTATTGCTACATAAAAAATGGCTTGGGTAATTACCAGTGGGGAACAATGAAAGTACCGAACGGATTAAAGATCACGGAAGGGGGGATCAACGACGCAGAACCAAAAATCTCACATTCTTCAAACGAACCGATAATTTTACATGCAGATAAAGTATAAAGATTGTATAGGTCACTTACGAGAGAGCAAATGCTTTGAATTGACTTCTGAAAGATGTAATTTTCCCTGGACGGATAGTCCACGCCAAACTGAATTTGTACGCCATTTTTGTACAGCAGTCCTTCGATAAATACTGTTTCATAGTCTACAATTCATGAAGAAGATTTAGGGCCATATCAAAATACTGAATACAAGTGAACTTGATTGATTTGACTAACTATCCTTCGGACTTCACCTTCACGCACAATCCTCAGTTTATCGATTCAACTATACAGTCGGAAGCACTACTCATAAGTAGCTGTGAGTTAAATACGAAAATCAATCAAGCCTTGTAGGTATGTGGTCAGTGGCCCGTAACGTGCATGGAAGTCCTGACTTGGTGTGGGCTTTTGATTGAAGTTAACAGGTTGTACTTGTGTCTCCCTTCGTTGCTGTCGGACAAATGAACTGACTGACTATCATTGAAGACAACACCTGTACAAGCATGAAGTGGCAATTTGGTTCAGCCAGGGCATGAGCTGGTTGGCACAGTGGTAATGCACACGCCTTCCATGCGATGGATCCGGAGTTTAAATCCCGGACAGGACGGTGTATATGCACTACTGATGAGCTCTAATAAGAGCGAAACTCGAGTGTAGTGCTTCCGACTGTATGGTTGAATCGATAAACTGAGGACTGTGAGCGAAGGTGAAGTCCGAAGGATAATCAGTCAAATCAATCAATATCGATCACCCCCCACACACTACTCACAAGTAACTGTGAGGTAAATACAAGTGAAATTATCAACAAAATAGAAGGTGGTTTGGTTTTATGCAAGGCGAATCATGCAATAAATTAAACCCCGATTGAAAATGCTATTAATTGAACATATTGCACGCGCGCGCAAAAACAGACAAGGCAGCATTTACGTATTCAAAGGTTGGCTAACACTTCCTCGACCCAATTTCACTACCCTATACCATAGGCCCAAATTCTGATCTTCGTTCTACCGTCAAACGTGTCAATAACTCGTAAATCGTTCCAGCCCTTCAAGATGAGAGGTCAACACTACGTGGTACACCGAGTCCAATTTCCTATTTTTTCTATTTCAAATTCTGGGTTAAATCCACTTGACAATTTTTGCGCCAGTTCCTCAGCAAAACTATTGGTTCCATAAAGGATCTGTAGAGCATTTTGTTCTGTGTTTGTTTGCGAGATTGAGATTCAAACACTGAATGAGTTTATGAGATAACAGCGAAACGTATTCGAACGCCAGTGTTCACAACGTTTTGCTTTTCTAGGACCAAATTACACAACACTTTGGAGCAGGATGCCAACAGAACACACTACAAACCTTGGGGAATGAAAACACAAAAGCAAATAAACAATAATTCCGGGTGCAATCAGTCCACAAGTGGTACTTATTGATGAGCGACTTTCTTGCATTTAAGGTATGCCATTAACAATGAGGAGAGCTCATGAAATTTTACAGATAATGCAGTCATTACACACATCACCAACTTACGAACAAACAAGAAACATGAGTTTGACTTACCGTCGGCGGCATTTTCTACAATGGATAACGAACCTGACTTTCAGCAAGTAATTAGTTATCAATTATGAAGGCGGGACTTTACTATGAATATAATGCAAAATCTGAGTTGATCAGAACTCTGATGAGTGAAACAAGAATCATACATCTCTATTCAATGAGATACATTCTTGATCCATATAGTGCAATGGGTGTACACCATATTAATACTGTAATAATGTATTATATTGAATAAAACTGGCAGATGAAAACCTAAATGAACAACGAGAGAAATCGTTTACAGCAAGACAAAGCGGTCCCTCCTCGAACTATTGAAGGATGCTCACCAGAGCAAAAAATGGGCGAGAATAATGAAAGTTCAACCTCACAGGCGTGCAACTGGTAACCGGTACCGTTCAATTCTCCAGGTGTTCTTTAGATTGTTCAATAATTTTCAACACACCCCTCCATATCACCAACGCCAATTCTGAATAAACTATGATATAGAAACGGGATTCGTTTTCAGCAATTCTTCTATTCTGTTTGATAAGTCACAAGTTTATACCGTCTACATAGGTAAATGAAAATAAGGTAGATAAAAGATGTCCACGGGAAACCGAGTGACCTAACCGATTGCTTTAAGCACAAAGGAAGGCCAAGCGAAACCAAGCTGTTTCGCATAATGCTGCTTATATAGAGGGTACTAGGACGCAGATAGTTACTCCAACATTGAAAAGTGATTTTTCTATCAGTCCGTTTATGCAACCAAACTTCGCGTCACATTTTGCCCAGGACAGTTGTCGGGTTGCAAGGAAAAGTCAAAATTATTATCTCTGCAACAGCTATTCTTGTGTTCACCCTCTTGCTTATTCCCAACGAACAATACGATGCACTGGTGGCACGCGCAGACTTATAAAGATCGTCAGGAACATCCGGCCTCGCTGCAAACTATAGTGATAAGACCGGGGGCTTAGGTTTTAACATTCCAACCAAATTTTGGTGCTCTGACTGTCGAAAGAATAGCCAGAATATCTTATTATGATTCATTTTTGAAATCATAATCATGTAACGTAATGAGTGCAACCTTTTGAGCAATATTATAGCATTCGTTTAAGTATTTTCAAATTTCTAGTTGAAATAATAGCAGATTATGAAACAAAATGCCAATTTACTCGGTAAATGCATGCCATACGAAAGGGTGAAAATCACATTGCCTAAGGGCCGAAACACGTCCTAACGAATGACCATTGGAAATTTGTAGATGACGCTTGAAAGTGATCTACCTGAATAGAAAGAGTTGATATACAATTTGATAAAGTTAAAGTGTATTAAATCAGTTTCTTTTTAGCTTCAGAGCATGAGAAAATTATCATGTGATCAGAAAACCGCCCGAACCTGATGTACGAATTCGGAAGTCGTATTTTATTTTTGACGGAGGCCGATACGAGATCATCAGGTTCACAAACGATTCCAGTTGTTTATCATCTCTCCTTATGCCCAAGTATTCCATGTGGAGGCTATTGATTTGAAGACGAGTGACCACTTCGTTACTGACCGCATTCATTAGGAGCACTTTACAGGGAACGTCGAAGTATCCTCTCATTTCGGTATCTTTCCGTGCAATATGTATCTGAAAATATTCACAACGAGTAGAACAAGGGATTATTGTTAATCGCGAGGCGAATACGGAGCAAGGGGACTCTCTAGCACATATCACCAGCTGAATTTTGCAAATAACCAAATCCCGATGGTCTTTTGTCTTCCCTTCTGAGACATGGGCCTATACTCTCAGTGAAATATTCACATCGTTTTTGAACGATTCCTTAAAAACCAGCTGTATACCAGACTGTTGGAAACCAGTACCAATTGTTCCCATTCTCAAATCCTCTACTTCAGACGTTCTAACTAAGCGCTTTCGTCCTATTGCTTTAACCTCTGTTGGACTTAAGCTGGCAGAACGTGTTATTCTTAAGCGTATTCAGTTCTCAATTGCTGCCCCATATGATCCCCTTCAGTTTGCCTATAAAGCAAACAGATTCACGCTAGATTTAGTTTCTTCTCTTTTACATAAAATTACCAAATCCTTGAATGACTCTGCGTAATCTGTCCGTTGTGTGTTTCTGGTCTACTCATCTGCTTTTGATTCTATTCCCCGTTCCCTTCTTCTTCATAAACTAGAGACCTTTGGTTGTCCTAGACAGTTATAAGCTTGGCTTGCCGATTACTTCTCCGAGAGAATTCAGTGTATCGGGTTAGGTCGGAATAAATCCAAACCATTGTTGAACAATTCTGGAGTACTCCAAGGCACAGTTCTTTTCCCATACTTATTTTCTGCGTATATTAGTGACTTGTCTGCTTTCACTCCTACATCTCTCTTCAGGTATGCTGACGATTTGGTCTTGTGTCAGGCCATATCTGGCTCTTCCGGTCTTTCACAATTTTCTGACAAATTGGATAACGTCCAACGGTTTTCCGCCACATTGGGCCTATCCCTTAATCCCTCCAAATGTTTCGAATGTCTCTTTACACTATCACGCTCTTCTTCCCCATCTGAACCGGTATCGATTGGTTCCGAGCAAATATCGTGGGTGAAATGTATTAAATACCTGGGCGTTTTTATTGATACTTATCTTCACTGATCCTCTCACATTCAACACATCGCCAGTAAGCTTCGAATGACTTTCTTTTTATATCCGTAAACTTCGTCAGTTTCGTATTCAAAAATCAATTATTTCCAATTTTTTGTACCAGTGTGTTTTCTCCGCTTTACTTTATTGTTTACCCATTATTTTTCCAAATCTACTAAATAAAGATTTTAATTTGCTTCGATGTGGACCAACCATCAGTAACCGTGTCTCTTCAATCCCAGTGACAGAGTTGATACCCAACCTGTGCGAACATCACTTGAATGCATGTGAAAAGCTTGCGCATAAGCTTTTCATTGACTCTAAACATCCGCTACACACTGATCTAACTTCCTATTTTTCCCATCAACTAAATCACAATATCGTTGTGTTCCCTCTCGAATAAAAAATTATCGTAACTCCACAGTACTCGCATAAGCACGTATTCTTGCTAACAAAGAACAGGTTTTCACAGAATTTGTTAACAGTTTTGGGATTGAAATCTCTTTTTTCATTGTTATTTTCATTTTCTCCCTTGATCCAAACCGCATAATTTTAAATGAAAGGTAGGCGTCATGCTTGCAGACGTTATTACAATACAATACAATACAATACAATAACTTACCGACGAGCAGACTAGCTGAGTCAATGACTGATGCTCTTTCGAATGCAACTCATTCATCCCCGGCTGGTAATTTATCAATCTTTTACGTTGTTTTACCGTTCCAACTATTTCAATGGATTCTAATTTGAATAAGAGAAATTTTAATTTACAATTAACTGTCCACAGAGACTGGAGATTAAAAAGTTGAGGGTTGGGGCAACAACTGAGTGAGGAGAATTGTAGCGTTCTACTCAGAAAGAAAAACACCGAAATAAATTGACAGATCTGTCAGAAGATGCAAGAATTGGTTAAATATTATTCAATTTAATCCCTGCACAAATTAGTCAGTTCAAATGTCACGAATACTGGCAAAGAGCGAGTTATAGATGCATCCTACATAATTTATTTTTCTGTTTATTGTTGTTTGGCACACTGACGTTTTTATGTTGAGATTGTGAAAAATTCAGTAGCCTCTATGGGATTCAAACCCACGCATGGACGATGCATACGCGCACGCTCTAACAGTTGACCTACGGGGCCAGACCGAAATAACTGATCGTTTTTTTTATTTTTCTTGCCATTCGAATAGGATGTGCACCACCAAGAGTGCTATGGTTTGAAATTGTGAAAAACAAACGCAAGGCTCTTGCAGACGCAGGTTCCAGTGTTGTACTCGAGAACAGCCATATCTGAAGCAAAAGTGGAAGCAATGCAGCAGAACCATCATCCCAACACGTGAAGATATTCCAAATCTTGGGCTAAACTCAAATATCAATTAATCAAGTTCAGTATATTATTCCCAATTATGATAGGTGTTCAAAAGTTACGATCATACATTTGTCGCAATTCGTCCTATAAACAGGGAGATTTTACTTAAAAAAAAATAAAATTTTGATCACCGCTCGAAAATGTTTTTGTTTCATGGTATGAAAATTTTTTCTGGCTTTTCTAAGGACTCTGAGAAACACCCACAGAGATTTAAAAGCAAGCCCTTCAGCAGCACAAATGTTTCGGTATCTCACTATTTCACCAACGCTTTTGTTCTACCTAAACAGATGCTCTAAGGGTGCAGATTATAACCCAAATGTCGTTGCAGTTTACAGTGATATTTAATAGCTTTGTTTTATCCAAAAATGCTTGAATAGGATAAGTGTCGGTCAAATTAAAAGGACACATCGAGGACATGACCGAATTTTTGACTTCGTCCACTCACATGACATACGTGAATTATGAGGACCGCCACTGTTGNTAAAACTCACCTTCTATGAATAACCAATTTGATGTTATTGGATTGGTACAGAACGGCTGAGTAATGGTAGTTTCATGCAGAGTTACCGCAAAGTACCGGTTTATTGGACCAGATATGTATTCGATGGTACACTTGTACGTCCCAACATCGGCCGTAGTGAATGATTTTATGACCTAAAATGAGATAATGATGAGCACTACCTTCCATAACCTTTCAAAATGGAAATATTTTTTTCATAAATGTTCTATCACGAGTATTAGGGAACTGTACTCGATTTCTTAAAGCAACATCTAGTTTTAATAGTGCTCTTCACTCATCCTCTTAGTGATCTGTTCATGCATAGCAGACTACATTATTTCTCTGGGCGAATCGTACATCGATTTTTGAACAATTAGCAATGAGCAATTTGTTAGTTCCTAGTGAAAAATCGTTTTGTTTTTTATTGGGGTTGGTTAAAACTACGGATAAACTCAGAAAACATCTGAAGTTCACGCGTAGCGAGATTAAGGGGCAATAATTGGAAACGCTCATAAACCAGTGGGAAAAGAATTCGTGATCT